CTGAAAACCTTATGTTTTGATAAAGCCATGTACTTTTTTGCTTCATCTTACTGTATATTGAGGTTTATCAGGTTTATATACTTAATTGAAGGAGCTCTGGTAGCGTAGTGGTTAGGAATCAGGCTGCTAATCTCACGGTCAGCAGTTCCAAACTACCAGTGGCTCCGTGGGAGAAAGATGAGGCTTTCTGCTCCTGTAAACATTTACAGCCTCAGAAACCCTGTACAGGGTCGTTATGAATCGGAACTGAATCCACGGCACATAACAACAACATGCGTAATTGAGTGTCTCTAAGCACATTAGTATGTTATAGTAGATAGGTATAAGGAATGTATTAATTTTCTATGCTCATTGCAGAACATGCTTTTAGACAGATTCTGTCTTACTTTACGGTTTTACCTGTCTATTAAGTTACTAATAGATCTCTTTTTTTGTGTTTCAGGCCCTTGTTAATCAAGTGGCAGCAACTGTTGCAAATCGTTTTGACAAAACTCTGCCAAGTGGTAAAACTTTATGTGGTGTTTTTACAAGTGAATATCGTCATGATACCCTAAACTGTCAGGTGGGATGTATTAAGGAATGACTTATTTTCCAATTATTGAACAGTACTTACATATGTCTTTAATTTGAATTTCAGCATTTTACAAGGATTTGAAATAATTTCATTAAATTTATGAAAGAGAAAATTATTTCCAAAAAATGTAATATAATTACGTTCTGAAGAATGAGAAACAGAATTCATCTCTCTTTAAACACACTCTTACTGCTTTTTGATGCATAAATGTATTCAAAATGATCTGGAAATTCCAATAAGTTATGTGGCACTGCAAAATAATGAGCTGGACTGTACGGTCAGTTTGAACCACAAGGCTGGTTGTTGAAACCTACCAGTTGCTCCTGGAAACCCTATACAAGGTCACTATGGGTCACAATTGACTCAACGACACTTAACAACAACAGTAACAGAAGTTTCTACTGAGAATGGCTTTTTCTTGACAAGTCAAAAATGGATTATTACTGCTTAATATATCTGTTAGATAAATCTGTTAGAGACATCATAAATACAAGATGTCTTTAGTGAATGCCCAGGTAAACAATTCAGACTAAACAAACAATGGCTATAGACTATTGCATGATATTCATAGAGATGTCATAGCCTGCACAATCAAAGATGTGTTGCTGCCCATCTATGGGAAGTGTGTTTTGCATAGATACCAGCTATCAGCTCTCCCTAGTCTGCTTCTGCAGTTCTGAGCTAGAAAGGTGTAGAAATATCCAGCGATTCTGCCTTAATGTGGTACAACTTTGACAAACAGTAGTTACCCCAGAACACTAAACTGGGCTGTCCATGGCTTTGCACTTCGACATATCTTCTGCCACAGAGTTGAGCTTTAATAAACATCTTAAACCTTAAACTCCAAGGAGCCCTGGTAGTGTAACAGATCGCAAAGGCTGCTAACTGCAAAGTCAGTAGTTAGAATCTATCAGACATTCCATGGGAGAAAGATGAGGATTTTTGCTCCCATAAAGATTTACAGCCTCGGAAACCCTATATGGGGTCACTGAGTCAGAATTGACTCTCTGGCACACAACCACCACCACTGCCACCTTAAATTCCCACCTTAAACTCTATCTCAGAATAAAGTTTTGAAGAACCAAACCTGAGACAACGATTTCAATTTTCAATACTCTGAATGCTCGTACATTTAAGAAGTTAAACTTCAAAGCTGGCATTTTGGTGCTTTTGACCTACAAAAACTGCAATTTATATTTTAAAACTAATACATCATAATTTTAGTGACACTCATTTTCAGAGGAATTACATCGTAATGTCATGAGTGATGTAATTGTTTGCATTTGACTATTAAACAATAAGTTAGTGGTTTAAACCCTTTGCGTGGAGTCATGAAAGAAAGACCATGCTGTTTCCTTAAAGATCACATCCAAGAAAACTCTATGGAGCAGTTCTACTCTGTAACTCATAGAGTTGTCCTGAGTCAAAATTCACTTGACCACAAAGAGTTTGGTTTTGGTATTATGGCCTAACTAACAGCAGGAGTCCTGGTGTGGTGCTGTAGAATAAGCACTGAATTACTAACTGCAAAATTGGTGGTACAAACCCAACAGCTGCTCCTGGAAACACTATACAGGGATTCTATGAGTACTGAGCCATGAGTGCTTAACAAATCAGCAGGCATATTCAGTGA